TGCGCGCCACATTTTTCATTCGTTAAAGGCTATAGACTGATAGCCGAAAGCTTATGTTTTTAATATATTTTTAACCAGAGAACGTTTTTATTCCAATACGAAAAAGATAAAGTTGCCAAAGCTTTCAAATAGCTTACAAACGTTTAAAGCTGGCTATTTTTCTGCGTGCCATTTACGCGTAGTTAAAAAGCCTACTCTAAACCGACAATTTTGGCTTTTTTTCGTTTTCAATCCAAACGGCTTATACCTGTACATGTAGGATACCGTTTACTGCAGTGTAACTTAACTGCTGCCGTCACGTGCATCGAGGTCATAATTGTTTGTTTATATTTTCTCCAATCAGATGCTGCTGCAGTCGAAACTTTCGATGTTAAACACTGTCGAAGTAAACTGGCAGAGCATTACAAAAGGACCGCCACAGTGCCCACCTCTGCCTGGTCTAAAAAATCCCCCGTGGACATTCACCAGATCTACACTCGACTGTCCTGGCTGAAAGAGGAACAAACCCCAGCTGGGCCATCACGTTCTGAACTGAAACATTATACTGACGTGTTCACTCCAAACAAGAACGGTGTTGTACCAAAGAGGATACTCGTGCAAGGGCAGACGGGTATTGGGAAGAGCACTTTCGTCAAGAAACTGGCTGTGGACTGGGCTGAACTTGATCACGAGATAACGGGACACGAACGGAAAGATGCAATGAAGAGTTTCCAAGATGATGAAGACAAGAGAGAAACAGAACAAGATGACGAAGCCTCGTCAAGTGAAGATGGTGGCGAAGACACATCAAGTGACGAGTATGAAGACACATCAAGTGATGAGAATGAAGACACATCAAGTGACGAGTACGACGACACGTCATTTGACGAGTGTGAAGATACGTCTAGTGACGAGTATGAAGATACGTCAAGTGATGAGAAGTACATCAGTGAGGACATGAGTGAAAGTCAGAAAGATGCCTTAAAAAAGTTCCAGCTCGTTCTTGTTGTTAATCTCAAGGAAGTGTCCAAATGCCAGAGCTTCCAAGACGTCATAAGTCAGTCCTCCATTTTTTCGGAGGAAGAGACAGCCTTGACCGAGGGCATCTTACGTTACATCACCAAAAACCAAGACAAAGTACTGCTGGTGTTTGATGGCTACGACGAATATCGCTGCGGAAGCAACTCTGAAATCTACGAGATATTCAGAGGAAAGAAACTGAGAAACTGTTGTGTCCT